TGAAATGTTGAAAACGAGTCTTCCACAAGTTAAAGGCGCCACACTGACCAGCATCGGAAGGGTCAGACGGGGAGGGGGGCACCTGCTGAGAAAGCCAAGCCACAGAGGCACGAAACTGAGCTGCACGCTTGCGGTCAGGCTGCGGCGGGATATCCTCTATGGAGTCCAGTGGGACAAGCTTGAGCAGCAGCTTGAGCTTGACAAAAGCAGCTTGCCTGAATCGGGCGTCGCGATCAGCCCGGCAAGGCCCCTCCACCTGGGCGGCCGCGAGGGGCGCCAAACGCAGCCTGGGCGCCTGGCAACGACCAATATACTGGAACACCTGGTCCTGGGCCAAGCCGAGCTTCGAGAAGGCCTCAAGCTCGAGAGCAACAATCCAGGTAGACAGCTGGGCCCCTAAGTCGAGGGAGACCTGGATGTTGTCATGCTCGAGCTTGAGGAGACCGGCAGCGGCATAGTTGGCCTTGAAGAAGCCTGGCCGCTCACGTTGCAGCAGCTGAGCCTGCACCAAGAAGTGCGGCCAGGCTTCAACAGGGGCAGCGACGCCTTTGACAGGAAGGGGCCAAGGTCGCATGGCCTTCCAAACCATGATGGCCCTGGGAGAAGCCGAGACCTGAAACTCCAAAGCGGCGTGGGTGCCCTAAGGCACTGGAACAAGCGACCTAAACTGGACGGCGCTAGAGAAGCTAGCAGAGACCAACGCGTAATCGATCCGACTGGTGGAGGCCCCTGAACACGCAACCGAAACACCAGGCATAGGAACAGGGACAAGACCAAGAGGCCCCAGCCAACCTGACTCCTCGAGAACACTCTGGTCAACCTGCCAGTCGCCCACCACAAAGGCGGGAACACCTGCCGCGCTCAGATGGGCGCCGAGGTCCGCCAGCAGCTCGAGGTTCTGAGCGCTGAGCTCGCCCCCCGTGACTAGGTAGACTGGGGCGATGGCCAGGGGCACCTTCCGCAGCCTCAGAGTGCACAACAGCCACCGATCCGTGCCAGCAGTAGTCCATTCACCCGCCTCGCATGTCAATTGCGAGAGCCCAAGATGAGAACGCGCAGCAACAAGAACACCTGACGATGCATCATCCGCAAGCGTGGGCTCAGCGGCCTGCGCTACAACTTTCCAGCCCAGCTTGTGTAGCTTATTGGCCATCGCCTGGTACTTGGAGCCGCGCATCCTGTGCTCGACAAAAAAGATGATATCAGCCGAACATCCTGCAACCCACCTGCAAGCAGCGGGGCCCCACACACTGATGTTGACGTGGACAATGGACAAAGAGCGCTGAGAGGCGGAGTCGCTGTCAGGGTCAGGCCCAGGCCCCTGACTCTCATCGTCCTGCGAATCTAGCAAAACGGGCTCGCCGCCTGATCCACGAGGGTCACCGCAGGGCGATTGCTCCAACCCCGTGGGCCGCAGGGAGGGGGTCGACGCCCCTGCGACGAGCGAACCTGGCGAACCAGGGTTTCCAGCAGCACAGACAGGAGATCCAGCAGCAGCGACGATAGCCTCAGGGTCTGAAGCGCGACGGTTGGGAGGAGAGTCAAACTCACGTTGCGTAGACGTTGCTCTTCCCATTCGCCAGGACCTGTTTGCGAAAGCCGAATCATGTTGGCATGGTAGCGAGCCCTCGCACTCCTCCTGGACCTCCAGGCCGAGAGACAAATGTCCTGAGCCTTGTCACGCCTCACGATAGCCAAATTCTCGATGCCAGTCCGAGACGACTGCTCCATAACGAGGACCAGGAAGACGTCCTGGGCTAGCATGTCAAAACGTAAGTGACACATAAGCGCAGCCAGTGAGCTTGGCTGCCAGGCTGATCCAACAGACTCGGATCCTGGAGCCAGAAGTTTGTGTAAGACCGAAGCCGGCGCTCAAGACTAAGTCGCTGAAGAATGGCAGCACGCCGTCCAGGATCCTGATCCTTACGAGTGAGGACAGAGTTCGCGGTGCGCCCTGCAGCGGGCCCCCGCAGGACCGCGCACCCTTGGGAGTGAGGGGCCGTCCCCTCTCCAGCGGCGCCTCCCACATCACGCGCCTTCTGGGGCCAGCGAGACAGCCTGCCTGCCCTTGAAGCCGAGGAGCACGAGGCCGAGGTCGACGCAGAATCCGAAACAATAGATGCCGCCACCGAAGAAGTGGCCGTACAGAACAGACATGTGGCGTCGTCTGCCGAGCCTTCAGCAAGACGCGCGCCGCGGGATCCCGTGCTGAGGTCTTGGCCGAGCCAACCTGCAGCAGGTGCCGTCCGCGGGGTCATTGCCTTCGCAGGCGCGGTGAGTGATCGCCCATCGTACGAGGTCAAAGGAGACGAAGATGCACCAGAGGAGGTCGCCACAAGCAGGAAAGAAGAAGAGGTGCCGCCTGCCGTCGAAGTGGACCGCATCGAGGAAAGCGAACATGAAGAGGCCGATCTTGAGAGCGCACAGACAGATGAGCTGCAGGTAGAACAGCTATCACACTCTTGACCACCATCATCAGAGCTAGGAGCCAGGCTCGCGAGCCTCAACCTTGGCCCGAGCTGCGGCCGCCTTGGCTCGTGCGAGAGTGTCAGAGCGCGCCTTCTCAATCCGCTTCTGTTTGTCGGTCGGCTCGGCAGGGGCTTCAGCAACCATGGGCTCAGCAGCCTTCGGCACATCAGCCGCAGGCGCCTGAGAGGAAGCAGCACCCTGGTTGCCCGCACCTTGAGAAGCCGCCACCCCTGTCGCAACCGCTCCATCAGTAGTCTTGCGCTTCTTACGCAACTCGCCCATCCTCCTCTGGTATTCCTCCTGGTGCGTCTTGTACTGGGATTTAATGCTCGTGAGGGCTCCGTGCAAGAGGGTCTTGACCTGCTGTGACTGCTCGAGCTGGAACTTTTCAAGTCCCTCGCGGTCCTCGGCCGAGAAGGCTGGCCCCGAGACGCTCAGCTCTTCACCAAAGTCGAGCTTGATCTCATCAGCGGAGTCTTTGAAGAGGGCATCGAGGGAAATGACGTTCTTGCTGGAAGTGGGCTCAGCAGGCTTCAGAACTCCGACGGCAAGCTTACGAGTGGCTTGCTCAAGTATGTCAGCGTTCTCTAGGTCCCTTGCCATGAGCTCATCAAAATGTTTGTCGAGGTCGCTGACCTCCTTGTCCAGCGCCGCGCGGCGCGCCAGGGCCTTGTCAAGCTTCTCCTGGGAAGCCTTCTTGGCCTGCGAGGCACGCTGCCACTCGGCCTGAGGCGTCGCCTGGGGCCGGGGCGGCGGCTTGGGCACGAACTGAGCAAGCAGTTTCTGGGCCAGGTCGGGCGCGAGGTGCGACGCAGCCTCCTTGACAGCCGCGAGAGCTTGAGGAGGAATGGCCTCAGAGGGGCCCTGCTGCAGCTGCTGCGCCTGGGTACCCTTGCGCCAGCGACCCTTGGACTTGCCGCCTCCGTCACCCCAACCTGACTCCCCAGCACCGGTGTACTGAAGCATCTGGCCGCCGACGTCGACAGAGGAGCTGGGAGGGTGACACTGGGACTGGCACCCGACGCAGAATTTGTGCCGCTTGGCCAGGAGATCATTCCAAGTCCAATGGCCACAAGAGCACACAGTGTACAGCCGAGCGCCGCGATTCTGCCCAGCCTTGGCGCCCCCAGGCGGAACTCGGATCCAGGGCTGCCTCGTCCAACTTTCTTCCGCATCATCCGGGATACGCCACGGGGCAGGGGCCATCGCGGCGTCGTAACGACTAGCTCCGTCAGGAGCACACGAAAGATGGGCTGCCAGAGGCCCGTGCAGTACTGGCAAAAGCTGTCAGGCACAAGGCCTTGGCACTGCTGCGGACTAGCAGCTTCCAGTTCGGCACGAGGGCGCAGAGCCCTCAGGTGCAGCATTCTTGAGCCAAAATGGCGACGGAGGAGGAGGAGGAGATGGAGGAGGAGGAGA